AAATAATAATTAATAAATTTAAATAAATAAATAAATAAATACATATATTATCACAAATCTTAATAAATGAAACTACAATGCTAGGCGCATGCATGTTTGCGTGTCAAGTGGTGGCAGGGATACATCCATTTAGTTGATATTTTACCATAGAAACATATTTCTTCAATTAGTGTCCATTCAATTAATATAAATTTTTTAATAGGGTTCATGTTTAACCTCTAATTTTGTAAGAGGTTTTGATTAGTTCTGTTATATTTTTAAAAAATTCTGAATTCTTAAAAAAAAAATAAAATCAAGTTGTGGACATTAAAAAATTAATTAATTAAATTAAATTAATAATATCCCTTAATATCTTGGAGGTTGGAATATTTAAAGATTTTCCTTTTATTTAAATTAAATTTATTTATGAAATGACCAACTTATCTTTAAATTAAGGGGTATTTGAGATCATTTGGTAAGTTTTCTTTGTTTATAAGTAGATCATTCATTTGATTGAAAAAAAAAGGGAGGAAGACCAAAGGAGAAAAGGGGAGTAATTGCAAGAAGGTTGGAGACTCATCAATTCTCAAGGTTTTCAATCCCTACAAAGGGAAGTCTTTTAACTCCTTGCCAAGAGTAATTCTAAATCCCTGTTAACGAAGAAAAATCCTAAAAATAAATCTCAAATTTCTTGAAAAAAAATCCCTTCAAAAGCAAGATCAAATTAAAACTTTTATTTTTTTAAATCTAACTGTCAATAAAAAAATTGTGATATTTTAAAACATGCCACTACTTAAAAGCAAGGGCATTGTAGAACCTCAAATAAAAAAGGTTAAAACCCTTTTTTGGTCCTTGAACTATTGTACGGACCTCCGATTTGGTCCCTAAACTAAAAAAATCCCTGATTTGGTCCCTACTGTTTACCCATTTTACCCCAACTTGGTCCTTCCGTTAAAAATATGGTGAGGTGTCCAGTTAATTAACTGAGTATGATGACGTGTCAAAATATTGTTACACATCAACTGTACACATGGCACATGTCATAAACCACGTCAGATTCTGAGCCAACAAAAAAATAAATAAATTGTGGGGCCCACCTCTTGACTCCCAAACTCACTATTTTCTCCCCCTTCTTCCCCTTTCAACCCTAGAAGACTTGTACCAGCAGTCTCCGTTGGATTCCTTCGAGAACCCAGCCGCTGGGTTTTGTTGGAACCCAAGAGCTGGGTTCTTTCGAGAACCCCTGGGTTCCTTCTTGAACTCAGGCGGCTGGGTTTCTTCTCGAACTCAGGCGGCTGGGTTCCTTCGTGAACCCAAGCGCTTGGGTTCGAGAAGGAACCTAGGCCTTGGGTTCGAGAAAGAACCCAGGTGCTGGGTTTCTTCTCAAACCCAGGCGGCTGGGTTCCTTCGTGAACCCAAGCGCTTGGGTTCGAGAAGGAACCCAGGCCTTGGGTTCGAGAAGGAACC